CTGCTCCCCTCCGAGACAGCATTCCTCCGCCCCCTCCCCCTCTCCCTCCCATGATAGGCAGCATTCCCACACCCCTTCCGAGACAACCGTCACCCCCTCTCGTCAGAGACAACGTTCCTCTACTCCCATCTCCGAGACACCCCTTGTCCCCAATCCGCTCCCCAAGGCAGCCGTCGATCCCACCTCCACCTCGGAGACACCCCTAGTCCCCAATCCCCTCCAAGACAGCCGTCGATCCCACCGCTCCTTCTCCGCAGTCCTCGTCTTTCGAGATTGAAGTTGATTGACAAAGACGACCAGGACGTGCTATTGTAAGTCCATATCGATCCGAGGACTACAGACGGTATGCCAGAAAGGAGAGCTTGTTTCATCGGTTCATCGCATCCGAAGACAAAGATATGTAAGTACATCGAAAAGATCTTTTATTGTTTACATAAAAAAAATAACTTTTTATTATATTATTTAATAGGAGGAATGTCGGCGTTTTAAATGAGGTGGGCCGAGAGTGGTTTCAGGAGTTGCTTAATCCGGAAAATATGGTGGAGGACGAGGTATGCATATGTTTGTCTTGTAATATCTTAACGTATAAAAATGAATTGATGGATGATTTTGGTTTGATTTTATAAAACAGCACGTGAATGCATACTTGGGGATTATGCAAAGCAATCCACAATTTTTGAAGTTGCAGCAACCGGTGAAGATGTTGGGCACTTATACCATCGTGCCGACTACTTTTTTTGTGAGATTATTTTAATCTTTTCTCTTTTCCCTGTCATTCCATTTTTTTATTAATAATTATATTAATAACATTATTATTTATTACTATTATGTTGTATTTTATATAGATGATGCTGGAGGACTTGGAGAAGAAGATCGATAAGGGGAAAGTGGACCCGGCCTCGTCGGAGACCCTCCAATCTTTGATTCGCATTGCAGAAGAGGGGGTCAGCGGATGGGGGAATCCGTGTTCTTCGAGGGACATTCAATTTGTAAGTTTTCAATGATTCTGAATCAATTAATATTGCAATCTTTCCTAAAAAAATTAGTGAATTTCTCACAACTCAATGCAACAGATTATTGGAGTAGTGAATTTGACCGGCCACTATGTGGCTGTCCAGATCTTTTTACGCGAGGGGACGATACGTGTGTTTGACCCCCTACGGCATACGTATCAGAAAAAGAACGAGCACATTCGCGAATCACGCGTCAAAGGACTCCAAAAGATCCAAAAAGGAATTCCACTGATTGCCACGTATGCGGCGGGAGTAGAGGGAGTGAGAAAAAAGTTCGAATTGACATTCATGGAGCCCAAAAATACTACGTTGCAACATGACAGAATTTCTTGTGGTGTATGCGTTGTGGAGATGGTGCGAGAACTGCTAACAACGGGGAAGGTTACCAGAGCCAAGTCTACCAAGAAGTGGGCAGAGGAAGTGAGGCGCAAAATGGCTATGGAAATTTTTGAGTTTAGTACAGATGGAAACACAATTACCATGTAACTAGTATTGATACCCGTGCGATGCACGGGGCACTATACAAAAATTATTTTTTATTTAAGTATGATAAAATTATTTAAGACAATATGAAATTTTTTTTTCTCCATAATATTCTATTCTTAAATAATATGACATTTATTTATTTATTTACTATTATTGTTAGCTTCTATTTATATATATATATATATATATATATATATCTTTTTTTTTACTATTTAAAATATAAAATTTCTTATTTATCAGTTTATAAAATATTATAAATGTATAAGATCATATGATATTTGCATACAAATTATTTTTATATATTTATAAAATTTTCGTTTATCTTTAGTTTTTTAATTTTGTCAACAATACATAATTTGCACATTGCTTGATAATTGACCATCGTTTAACCCATACTATTTATCGTTCGCTACATGTTTTAAGTTCATTAAATGCTGAAAACTTTGATAAATAAATTTTAACTTTAAGTAACTTTAATCCTTATGCAACATACAAATTTTTTATGGTTAAATATTTATTTTTATGTTTTTATCTTATATTTATATTTATTCCTTTAATTCTTTTTTTTCAACCTATATAATGAGTTATATAATATCCATTCGAATATTTAGATATATTATATATTTTCATGATTATCAAGTGCTATAAGTTAAATTATTATACAATTTAAATTTTTATACATCGTTTTTTTATTAACGTATTTTTTCATTTATAGAATAGTATATAAGGAAAAAATATATATTTTTACAAATTGAATAATTTTATATTGCACATAGATACTCCTAAGGTAAAATTTATAATTCTGAATTGCACCCGACCGTCAAATTTTATTTTATTAGTATATTATTTAAATTTCAATAGTTTTATCACTACATATGATATATTCAATGAGCATGTACCTTTATATAGTTAAATTGACTATACGTTTTAGAAACTTTTATTTATAATTTTATATTATTTATTAATTAGTTATTTTGATTTAAACATAGTTCTTTTGATTATTTTATTAAATAATTTGAGTACTTTTGAATAGTGAATATAATTTATTAGATTAATACCTACAACCATAAATGATAATATATTTAATCAAATCAATTTCCATAATATATTTTTTTAAGTGTGCAAATAAATTACTACTAAATTAATATAAGATCTTATTAAAAATATATCTAATAAATCTACGTTCAAAATTTCGATTTAGCCAATTTATAGTTAATGAGTAACATTTATTGAGTGTATAAAAAATAATTATGTTTTTCATGCATAAGATTTGCTAATAAATAAATATTAATTAAATGCCAATTTTAGAAGAAAATTGTTCCCAACCAAAATTATGCTAATTATGAAAATAAGAATTTGTCTATTATATAGATATAGATTATTGGAACATATATGTTGAATAAAATCTTTGCAAACAAAGATAATTATTATATGCGTGTATATGTTTCTATAATTTAGGAATAATTATCATATATTAAATATAGTAATCCCTATATTAAAATCTTTGCTATAATTATCATATACATACGGAAAGATGGACAACAAAATCTTTGCTATAATTATTCCCTATAATTATTTCGTCAAGTGGATCAATAAATCAATAAATCAATAAAAATTCAATATATTAAAGCTAT